AACCATAGAAAAAAATCTAAAGGGTTGATTATGGAACGTCTAGACAGAATCTTTGTTAACAAAGATTGGATTTCCTTATACCCTAAAGCTGTGGTACTACACCTTCCAAAAACTCACTCGGATCATAATCCTCTACTCATTAATCTAATCCCTAGGAATGGAGATAGTAGAAATAAGCCTTTCCGCTTGGAAACGATTTGGTGTAGTCATCTGGATTTTATCAATATAGTCAAGCAATGTTGGCTAGGAAAAGACTTTGTTGATGCCCAAAACAATTTTACAAATGAGGTTATAAAATGAAAAAAATACTACGTTCGGGGATATTTTTAAAAAGAAAAGGCAAATCCTAGCTAGATTAAATGGTATCCAAATTTCCCTCATTACCAAAACAGTGACTTCCTACAAAACCTTGAGTCCAACCTCCAACTGGAATATAACAATATTCTTCATATGGAATATGATTTTTGGAAGTTAAGGTCTAGGAGTAATTGGCTTAATGAAGGTGATGCCAACACCAAATATTTTCACATTATGCCTTCAAATCGTAAACGTCGTAATGCCATAATGTACTTCACCAAAGATAATGGGGAGTGGATCTCTGAACCTAAGCAAATAATTGATTACACACTCTCCTTCTTTATAGAAGCCTTTAAAACTGCTAAGATTGCTTCTCTAATAAACAATTCAATCACTGATCCCGCAAGTGCCAAGAAGGCTGATCTAAGCTGCCTAGATTACCCTCTTACCAACATGGAAATCACTAAGGCAATTTTTTCATTCAAACCTTTTAAAGCACTAGGTCCGGATGGCATTCATCCATTCTTCTACCAAAAATATTGGTATATAATAGGAAACTCCTTCACTTCCTATTGTCACCAAGTTTTCAACACCCAATCCTTACCTAGTGGCATCAATGATACTAACTTATGTCTCATTCCTAAATTTCCTAATGCAAACAACCTCAAAAACTTTAGACCTATTGGGTTGTGCAATACTGCTTATAAAATCATCACCAAAATAATTGCTAATAGAATGAAGCCTTTCCTCCCCCTCCTAATTAGCCCGATGTAATCCAGCTTCATTAAAAATAGAAGAACTAGTGATAATGCCATCATTATTCAAGAGATTATGAACAACCTTAGACGTTCAAAAAAAATCAACTTGGATATGATAATTAAATTGGACCTAGAGAAAGCTTTTGATAGGCTAGAATGGTCTTTTGTCCACAAGACCCTTCAATACTTCAATTTTCCTCCAAAGATATCTAGGCTCATTATGCATTGCATAACTACTAGCTCAATAGGAGTTTTAGTTAATGGGACAAGAACCAACTTTTTCCAATCTAGTAGGGGTATTCGTCAAGGAGACCCTCTCTCCCCTTATATATTCATATTATGTATTGAATTACTGTCTAGACTAATCAACCACCAAGTTGATCTTAGAAATTGGGATCCCATTCAAATTGGCCATAGGGGCCCTTCCTTGTCCCACATTCTATTTGCGGATGACATAACCCTTATGGGAAAAGCAAATAAAAAAATAAGTCGTTGCATAAAAAAATGCATGGACTTTTTCACTATGGAATCTGGTCTAGCCATCAAAAATGCTAAATCAAGGATTGTTATCACTACAAATTGCTCAAAAGACCAATCAAACTTCCTAATATCTCTTTTTGGTATAAAATCTACCAATGAATTTGGAAAATACCTTGGTTTTCCAATTCTTAACCATTACCCCAAAGCCAAATATTTTCAATTCATCTTGGACAAGTTACATTCCAAACTATCCCATTGGAAATGCCCTTTTCTTAATATGGTTGGTCGTACCACCTTAGCATCTAGTACCCTAGGAGCAATTCCTTCCCACTTAATGCAATACACTCTTCTTCCCTCCAAAACCCTAAAATCTATTGATAAAATTCAAAGAGACTTTATCTGAGGCTCTACCAGTACTGCTAAAAAACTTCATTTAATTAGCTGGGAAACTGTTAATAGGGGAAAAACTGAGGGAGGTTTGGGTATTTGTCAGGCAAAAGAGAAAAATTTGGTTCTCCTTTCTAGCCTGGTCTGGAGACTCTTAAAAACCCCTTCCACTCCTTGGTGTCATCTCATCATGTCCAAATATGCTCACTCTAAATCAATAACTAACACTTCCTTCATTTGGAAATCCATTCTCAAGGGGTGGAAAATTTGTAACAAGGGTATTCTTTGGCATCCTTCTACTACTTCCCAATTGAATATCTAGTGCAACAATTGGATATACAACTAAGAAGCTCAATTGAGGGCCCTCTCAACAAGAATGACCTTAACCTTTCACTAGGGTGCCTAATCAAGAATAATAATTGGGACTTGAAGACAATATCCTTTGAATTACCACCTAACGTAATAAAAAATATTAGCATTACTCCAATACCCTGCAACAACTCTAAAATTGATGAAATCAGCTGGAGCATTAACTCAAATGGTACCTTCTCCACAAAGTCTTGCTACAATCTCCTCACTAAAACCAATCATACTTCCAACTCCTTCAAATGGATCTGGGACCTTCGTTTTCCAAATAAAATTAAAATTTTCCTATGGAAATGCTTGCATAACCGTATCCCTTGTCGAGCCTACCTAAACAAAATTGGCATGAACATTGACATCACTTGCACTACATGCAGATTAGGTGTAGAAAACATCCAACATATTTTTCTGAACTGCTCATTCACACGTCAATTCTGGACGAACATGGGCATCACTTCCCTAAATATAATTAGTGATGTAAATTGGCTGGTTGACCTAAGGGATTTTTTCATCCGTCATAACTCTCACAAGATTTGTTGGGAAACCCCTTTTCCTTTCTGCATACGGGAAATATGGAAAAACAGAAATCGAAACAACATAAACAATCTTAATTGTTTTTTGGATGTGAAAAAGCCCATTCACCTTGCATGGGAATATATTTTCTTCACAGAAAGAAACCCCTTCACTACCAAAAAAGTTTCAATTGAGATCAAGTGGCATAAACCGCCTAAAAATATAATTAAACTAAACTATGATGGACCTTTCTCTACTAACAATAATGCAACAAGAATTGGTGGGTCATTCCGTAACAACAGTGGATATTGGATCATGGGTTATCACGAAGCAATACACGCTTCCTCACTGATATATGCAGAACTGATGGCTCTGCTAGAAGGACTCAAAATCGCAAAGGATTTTAATTTTACAAATATGGAAATTGAAACTGATAGCACTGATGTCATTAAACTTATGCATGAGTATTGTAATAATTTCCATAATATTGTTTTTGAATGCAGATGGTTAATGCACCAACTGAAGCTCCCAACCCTGAAGCATAACTTTAGGAAAAGCAACGAAGTGGCACATTTGATGGCTAAAGAAGCAATGAAGCACCCCCCCCCCCTACCAAATATGTTTATCATGCTCGTCCACCTTATTTTGCTGAACAAGAAGTATTGACGAACAAGCATGAACTATGTAATAGTGTTAGAAGTATCTCTACCAATGTTTGTACTTATGTGGCAAGTATGGGCAACAGTAATGCCCTAAAGACTATGTCCTCCTATTGTAATATGTTTTAAGTAATATAAATTATCGTGCTTTTATGTTCAAAAAAAAAAAAAAACTTCTTTTGCGCCCTACCATCAAGAGTTGTGGTGGTGTACATTGTATTCCTATATCCTTAATTATCGGTTTCGAATCCTGAAAATAAATTTTTTTTTCCGTAGAAAGTGCTTTCTCTATATAAGTAAGCTTGCAGGTACGAATCCAAATTAGTCGATGCTTCAAAGCGGATATAAAACATGAGGTGACAAATCAAAAATAAATCTTTTGGCCCCTTTAGAAGCCTTCTGCGGTATAGGATGAGAGATACATTCTCTGACCAGTAGGCCTAGAGAAGACATTCTCAAGTAATAATAACCATACATGATTTAATGCAGATTTTATAATCACAAGATTTCCATGAAAAAACATTCAATACAATTCACCAGGAAAAGAACACATAATGCAGTATATCATTAAGTAGCCTTGGTCCTATATATTCAATATCACCTAACCAAATACTCCTTCACCATTCATAAAGCAAATTTGAAAATATCAAATTTCGAATTTAAATTCCGTCATTATATATATATATAT